AAACCAAAAATCTTTAAGATGAAAAAAAAAAAACGAAAAAACGTAATCGTAATACAAATACAAAAAATAAAGAAAGAAACAACGATAAAAAAAATTCAAGCAAAAATGAAAGTAAAAGTTTGTTTTCATTTTATTATGCGGCTTATAGTAAGTTTGCCTCTGAAGTCATGCGTCTTTTCTTGTCTTGACGGTTTTATTTGTGGGTTTGTTTCATTTCGTTTATTTCTTTTTTATTTTTTGTTATTATTGTTGGCCTTTTGTTTGGCCTGAAGCTTAAACAGACAGCATCCACTCCATTCAGTTAACAAAACGTACGTAATCAAACTCAAGTACTATTTCGAAAAGTTGTTTACAAAAAAAAAAAAAAAAAACAAAATACTAAACTTATCGATTGAATAATAAGGGCTCTAAGAAATGAGTAAAAGGAATAAATGACTGAAGTGTAGGCATGGAATAAATAAAATGTTGTAATGATGCTAAAAGAAATGCTATTTATATAGTTTTGGTTCAAAACTGTTGGAAAAGTTCAAAGCCTTCTCCAACTATTGAGGTTTCGTTTGTAATGAAAAGCGGATTCCAGCCAAAATACAATATCTATAGAAATCTCCTCTTAAAGTTCTTTAAAATTTTAGTGTCATAATTTGCTCCCATGTATGTTTGAAGTTTTGGCTTGTTTGTCTATATTTAAATTATTAAATTTGTTCATTGACAATTTTTTTTATAAATAGGAATTTTATGTCCATTTATTTATGAATTTTAAATTTAATAAATAATTTATAGATTTTTGCCTTTGTTATAAAGGTTGTATATAAAGGTTGTATAGTAATTTTTTTGTGTACACATGCTAAATAAAATTTGTTATCCTTTTTAAAAATTCATTTACATAATTTCTTCATTTTTCAATGTAAGAATATTTCAAAAGTTTTCGAAAAGATTTTATGAAATGTTTATTAAATATGGCAGGAACGATTAAGGCAAAATATTGCATAATTGAATAAATACAAGATAAGATTTATTTAATATAAATATTTAATTAAAAAAATTTACTTAAAGTGTTAAACAATATAAAATTTACAGAAATTTATGTTTGAAGGAATTTTATGAGAAAAAAAAGAACGTAATTTCTTTTTGTTTAAGTTTGATAGAGTTTTTTTGCTATACATAATTATAAAAGTTTAATTTATATACAAAATGTTGAGAAAAAATCGTATTTATTATAGAATTCCATAAATCGACTTAAGAATAATCTATTGTAATTAAAAATCGGAAAAAGTTGTAGAAAATTCAGTCCATTCTGAAATTCATGCGTCTGAAGGCTGGATATCAAGAACTCATTGATATGTTGCTGTGGCGTGTCAACTCCCCAAAAAGTTTTATTATATCCATAGAAGTTTATTACACATCAAAAAGTCAGGTGGCGTGTCATAATGTCCATGGACGTTGTTACACACTAAATTGAGTCATAGTGTCCATGGACGTTATGACATTTTCAAAAGTGCCACAATGTCCATGAGCAAAATGACATAAAGCCCATGAATTTCAAAGAGTCCATTTATCATAAAAGGCTTAATTTAACGGTGGCGTGTCATGGACATTATGATATTTTAAAAAAGTGACATAATGTCCATGGACATTATGTCGCATAGAGTATAAAACCTCTCGGCCCTTGATAAGAGTGTCCCTTTCCTAAATTCTAAACAAATTTTCCAATACATTTCTGTTTTTAAAGTGTCATAACGTCCATGGACACTAAGACACTTTTTGGTGTGTAATAATGTCCATGGACATTATGTCACCGGTTTCGTTAAATTGGTGGCGTAATTTACCGAAGCCGTTATTTGAAATACCCCAGAGTCAAAAACTCCTGCGCCCGGCCGAAGGACGTCTATCCAAAACACTATTTTAAAAAAATCCAAAACGCAACATACACCAAATTTAGGACAATTCATTTCGGAACAAGAGAGTCCCTTTCACACTGTGACATGACACTTTTTAGAGTGTCATAACGTCCGTGGACATTATGACACTGCAAATTCTGACACGCCAACAAAAAGTCACAATGACATTATGACACTTTTTAGTGTGTAATAAGTGACACATAAAAAAAGTGACACAATTTTTCTATGCAGAGTGACATAAAGTCCATAGATTATAAATATTTCTCTTATTTTTATAAAAAGCTTAATTTCGCTGATAATTTACGAATAAGTCTTTGGCCACTTTCTGAAATCGTAATGAAGTATTTCAAAATATTTCCAGAATAACAGAGTCAAAGTGTCCATAGGTATTATGACACTTTTAAAAATGAACACTATGACACTTTTTGGTATGTTTAAATATCTAAGGATATAATGAGATGACACCAATGCTGTACAATATAGTATTTGGGCAAGACTTTGAGAAACAACCTATAACCAACTTAGGTTTTTACTGATCTCTTTAGTCCTCTTTAAACATATTTTACTGTTGGTAAAATGTTAAAAAGATATCAGAAAAATAAAATTTCATAACAGTTTAACTGAAAATACAGTTTCGTGTTAAAACTCAAAACATAACATTATGTTTGTATAATGAGTAGATTTCTTATAAATTTAGTGCATAATCTCTAAGAAGATGTACAACAGTATTAAATCTTCTATAACTGGACTCAACATGGTTCTGGTTACATGCACATAATCCAAACAGACCAAAGCAAAGCACTAAACTTAAGTAAATAGAAAATTTCATGAACTATTTATAAACAGCTTAAAATACTCAAGTAATAACCATTTAAGCAATTTTGTTTTACAAATGAAGCAGAAGAAGCACCAACACTAGTTATAAGAAACAGTAAAAGCAAAATACTGTTGCTGATATAGAAATGTCTCCATCATTCACTCCCTTTACTCTTATTGCAACACATCTCAGTAAACACAGCAACAAATTGCAGAAAATCTGGTAGATGGTGAAATAATCTTTTACATTTTAGTCTGCTACCAACATTGCTAAAGTGAAATTCTCTCACATCTCATACACTAAACACTGTTTCAATATCATTTGTATTGAATGGAAATAATTTCGAATTTATGCCAAGAAAACATTTCAAAACATTCAATTAATTATTAACGATCATTTAAAGTATTAAAAGTGTTTTCAATATTAAACGTTTTGCGAGTGCATGTATGTAAGTGTTTTGTTTTGGAAAATTACAAAATTGTTTGGAAAAAATAATAATAATAACAATTATTTTGAAATAGAAATTTACTGTTAAAACAAATGTTTTGAAATATCATATGATCAATTGCTTGGGAAGCTGTACGGCCAGTGACATTGTAAGCTTAACGATCACTATTTAAAAAGTCCAATTGATTTGACTTCGGTTTTTTTGTTATTTTTATTCGTGTTCGTTTAAACAAATATAAGAAATAAAATAAAGAAAAAATATAGTTGGAGTTGTTTGGCTTATTTATGATCGATCTTGTTTATATGGCAGAGAGTGAAAGAAAGTGTGTCAGGTGTGTCATTAAATACAACTACAAAATAATAATAAAAAAATCTCTATACTCATTGAATTGTATGTATGTAAGTTTTTTTCATTGTAAAAGCTTGTTGTCAACGATTTTTTTTTTATAATTTTCTTAGTGTACAATTTATTTTGTTTGTTCAAAACAAAAATTTCAAGAAAATATGAGAGAAAATGTTCAAAGTTTTAGTCGACTAAATGGGAAGGTACTTTGTTTTTTTTTATATATGTTAAAGTATGTTACATTTATTTGAATTCTCGGAATATTCGCGATAAAGTTTAATAATCGGAAACCTCTAAATTAAATTGAAATTCTAATTAAAATCTTCAGAATTCTAGGAATATTCGCGATAAAGTTAATAATCACCAAAGAACTTTGAAATTCTGGGTAGAATCTTTATTGGTGTTTTAGTCGACTAAATGGGAAGGTACTTTGTTTTATATGCTAAAGTATGTTAATTTTTTTTGAATTCTCGGAATATTCGTGATAAAGTTTAATAATCGGAAACCTGTAAAGTAAATTTCTAATTAGAATCTTCAGAATTCTAGGAATATTCGCGATGAAGTTAATAATCACCAGCCTATGACAGTTTTTGATATGTTATACATTTCAAAGACAAAATGACATTGAATTGTCGTTACAATACAACTAACTAAACACACCGTTTCAAAACCCTACTTCAAGTGTTGCTTAATAGCAGACACCAACAACATTCACAATATTTTTTTAAATATTCGTATCGTTTATAACTTGAAAATGTTTACATCTGTTGCTTCGTTCATTTTATCTCGAATTTCTATAATTTTTAGGCAAAAAGTAAAAACTTTTATTTTTTAATTTATTTTATTTTGATCAAAGTGAAAACCAGACGTATCCAAAGCAATAAAGATTTGTTTTAATTTTAAACATACATCCAGCCAGTCAGTGAACCAGCCAGACCAAACCAAACAACCGACGAACATATAGCAATCGTCTACAACTACACACCCTGTCAGCCAGCCAAACTTCCAGCTAATAAACCAAAACACCGGTTTTCGTTTTTTATTTTCTTTTCTTCATCTACCTTGAAGCCAAAGTCACTGAATGTTATTAAACTTTTATTAGAAATCAATTAAATTTATGCATACATTATCAAAATTGTAAAAAAATAAAAATCAAAAACGTATGTATGCCTGCCTGCCTGCATGTTTTCAAAGAAAAGAAAAAGTTTGTCGGGAAAGTTTTTAAAAATTTCAAAAATTTAAATCGTTAAAATGAAAAAAAACAACTTTTAAACATTTAAATAAAACCGCTTTTAAACACTTAGAAAGACAGACACCAAAAATAGAGAAAGATTTTAGAGATTAAAAGTCATAAATTAAAAATTACTACTTAACTTAGTTAGGCGTACAAAAATCCAACAACAAAATGTGTGAATTATTAATAATAAATTTATTTACATGTTATTTACAAATTATTAATGACTTTTCTTCTTTCTTTCTTTTCACTTTCTTTTAGAGATGGAATTGAGAATTAATTCACTGGGATTTATACTACTTGCAACGACATTGATCTATAGTGCCGGCAATTTAATAACAACAACCTCAGCTGAAGGTTTACGTCTACCGGATCAACAGTCAAATTCAATACCTCAACAGCAACAGATATTACCGCAACAGCAACAACATGTACAGCAAATATTTTCAAATCAACAACAACAACAATATGTTCAGCAACCCCAGCAGCAGCAACAACAACAGCCAGGAGCTGGTGAGGAACGTGGCCGTTCTTCAATACTCAGCATATTTGGTTTAGGTGGTGGTGAAAGTGATCCCTATTTGGCTCGTTCCAATTCAAATTGTTTAAGCGGAGATTTATCTGAATGTTTCAAGACACAAGCTTTGAATAGTTTCGATGAAATCTTCTATCGTGAACAATATGCGTAAGTTTTAAAGGACTTTTTAGAAATACGCAATTTGTATTAATAAATTTATTAAATTTGTTCAATAGATTATCTGATTTTGCTCGTGTTGTTCGCATGCCTGAGACACAACAGCGTTCTTTGTTGCAAGAACCTTTTGAATATTCAGAAGAACCACGTAATGAGGATAGTGACTGGGATCAATTGGTGAAATATGCTTTAAGAAGAGCTGAAAGGTAAGTGAAGAAAGTTCCAGAATGATTCGCGATATTTTTAAACCCAACGATAGACCGAACAACATTCTTTAGAGTTTTCATATTTGCCGAAAATTTCAGATTTAAACAGTTCAGAGTCCTGATTTCTTTTTTTAATTCGGGAGTTATCTAATTACAAAAGCAACTGAAAGTTTTAAATCTTTGATCTTAATAGTCACTTCATTATAGTTAAATTGTTAATTTCCGAATTTCTCTCCTAAGTGCTAGTTCGATATCGAATGTCATCCAAACAACTGAAATAGTTTCAAAACTACATATTAAGTTTTCTTTTCCGACTTCTTTGATTCAGTAAAACGATCGTTTGCACACTAAAGATCTTCGTTAAAGCGGTTTTTACTTTGGAAAAACATTGATGATTTATACGAAAACAATTTTCTGAACTGTTGATGAAATTAGCACTGAAAACTATGTTTCAAGATCATAAAGTAAAGAGAGAAAGATCCAAACTGATCAGAACACGAATGCGTATAAAAATAGAGCACTTCAGAAATTTATGAAACAGATTTCCTGTGTCAGAACTTCTGAAAAGAAAACAAAAAATTCTGAAATGAATATTTACATATTTTGCATAGAGAATTTCCATTCTAATTGCTAGAATTCTTCAAAAAGTGATTATGTCAACATTCAAACAAGATCACTTTCTGTAGATAGTGAGAGCACAACAAAAATGCTTTAAACTAGTGACTAATCGAATTTGAAGAGAATATTTTTGCTTCTTAGTACTTAGTTAATTAGTTTGTATTAATATATATTTTTTTAATTTTTTGCAGATTCATTAAATCCACAGCTTTGGAAATTGATGTACCAGAAGAATTCACTGAAGCGGGACGCTATGATGCACGCTTTATTGGAAATGATATCGACAGTGAATTGGACATCATTGAGGATAAACATGCTCCCATCATAAGTAAGAAGTTAAAATGTTATATATTCTAAAAATACATTCTGACTAAATTCCCTTCTAAATATTCATTTCAGAACGTAAAAAGTTGAAGAAAATGATCATTCCTTTGTTGTTGGTGTTGAAAATTTTCAAATTGAAATTGTTGTTATTCTTGCCCTTCATCTTGGGTATTGCTGGTCTCAAGAAGATTCTCGGTTTGGCTGCCATCATCTTACCCGGTCTCTTTGCCTACTTCAAATTGTGTCGTCCCCAAGGTGGACCTGGTGGTTATAATGCTGGCGGTGGTTTATTCTCCGGTTTGTTTGGCAGTAAAACAACATTCCCTGAATACTCACCACAAGGTGTCGGTTCAGCTACGTACTATCATCATCATGAACATTATGATGGTGGTGCTGGCAATGCTCAATACTATAGACCTGATCCACATTTCTCTAAACCCTATGGTGATTACTATAGCAAGAATTATGCTACTACTGGCAATTCGGTTAGTTTTGGTGAAACATCTGCCCATGATGCTGCTTATTCTGGTTATTATGGCAGAAATACTGGCAAAGATATTGAAAGTACTCAGAAGAGTTAGAATGATATATAGAAGAGAGAAAATTTCTTTTAGCGGAAATTTTACTCTTGTAAAATGGCCATTCTTTCAGATTTATTATTTGTATATTTAATTTAATTGTTATAATTTTTTGTTAATGCATTATTGATTTTTTTGTACTATATTTATTTCATGTTCACAAAAAAAATATTTATTTATATATTTTTATAAAACTTTAAATAAATTTTAAGAAAATTATAAAAATGTCTTTGATGGAAATAGGATATGGATATTTTTAAATCTTGGATGTACGTCTGACTGTCCGTATGTTTATTAAAATCGATTTCTGAATGCCCCACATATCTCTCGGATTTAAAATTTCGACTTGACATACTTTCGAAAACGGCTCATTACTATTATAATAGCTTTTGTATTTTTATTTGAAATTATGATTTTCATTAGTGTATGTACTCGATTATACCAACAAATTACTCCAAGTAATTCTATGATAGACTGCTTTAAATTAAATAAATTAATTTTTCTAAGTTTTCTGACATGTGTAATAATATTAAGACTAGGCCAGCCCACCAAAAAAAAAAAAAAATATTTTCAATATGTCTGAAACTACAAACAATATTTTTATACCCATTAGACTATCAAATTATGAGTGTTGGAGTAAGACATTGCTCATCCGAAGTCCAGAAACAATACGAAAAAACCCAGAAAGATATACATATATCTAATATTCTTTACAAAGATTTTGTTCATTCTTTATGAAGCAAGAAGGACAGGTGTTATAAAAACATAAAAAAAAACTAAAATAAATTTAAAAAGTTTTTCATGAAAATAAAAAATAAATACTTCAACTTTAGAAACAAGTACAAATACATATATATGTATGCATGTGGGTTTTTGGTAAACAATTTTGATGATCAAGAAACATTAAAAATTTATTTTTATAACACACAAAACGTTGTGTATGTGAGAAAGCAAAGGACTAGAATATTTTAAATTAAACAAGTTAGAGTGCTATATTCGGTTATGCCGAATCTTAAATACCCTTCACCAGCACGCTACATTTTATTAAAACCCATATAACTATCTAGTTTTTAGATATATACACAAAACATATTCAAGTTGAATTTTTTACCGATAACTATTATTGTCAATGAAATTGAGCATTTAATTTATTTTCGAAAATGATCCTTATATGGGAGTTGTGACCAATTATGGACCGATCTGGGAAAATTTTCGCATAAATATTTATCTATATATACAAGACGTATTCACGTCGAATTTTACCCCGATAGCTTTATTAGTTAATAAAATATATACGTTTAAGTGATTTTCGGAAGTTGATCTTATATGAGAGCTATGACCAATTACGGGCCTATCCGGAAAGAAAATCGTGCAGTGGAGTGATTGATACATATACAAAACATATTCGTGCCGAATTTTATCTCGATATCTTTATTTATCCATGAAATATGCTCGTTTAAGTCATTTTCGAAAGTAGACCTTATATGGGAGCTATGACCAATTACGGACTTATCCGGAAAAAAATCGTAGAGTGATTAATACATATTAAAAACATATTCGGGCCATATTTATCCCAATAGCTTTATTAGTTAATAAAATATTAGCGTTTAAGCTCCCACATAAGGTCGAAAGTGGACCTTATATGGGAGCTATGACCAATTATGGACCGATTTGGAAAAAAAAATTGGTAGATTGATTTATACTTACATACACAAAACATATTCATGTCGAATTTTATCTCAATAGCTTTATTTATCAGTGAAATATGCGCGTTTGAGTGATTTTCGGAAGTGGGCCTTCCGACCAATGACCAATTGTGGACCTATACAAATCTACGTTTGTAGTATGATTTCAGTTTATATTTTATTCATATGTGCAAAATTTTAAGTTGATATCGATATATTTGACGAAGTTATTAACGATAAATCCTTTTCCGGAAATATGTACCTCTGTATGGAGGCTATGGGAAATTGATCGATTGTTTTGACAACGTTTGACAAAATTCATCGAATTATCTTTTGTAGTTTCTGAGAAAACGACTTAAAAATTACGAAAAAAAACTTTTTTTTTCGAGGTAGTCTGAAATTTTTACTCATAACTATTAATGTTGTGAACCGATTTTGCTGATTTTCAATACCAAACTGTTTAGGATAACAATGAATATTTTTGGTGAATTTGGTTTATTTCTTTTGCTTAGTTATAACGTGAGCGTGTTTTAGGCAGACAGACAGACGGACATAGCTAAATCGACTCATAATTTGATATGGACCCGGAATATATATATACTTTGTTGGGTCTCAGATGAATATTTCTTGGTGTTACACACGGAATGACACCACTGATGGTGGTGGAGGATATAAAAACGGTAACGACGCCTCCAAACTAAAACATTCTAAGTTGAAAAAGTGAGTTTTTAGTTTTAAGCCCTAAAAATTAATTTTTTTTTAAAAAAGTATTATCATACTATTTAATAAAAAATAAACATAAAATAATTACATCAACAACGGAACGATGTGGTAGTTTGCATATTAATTATACCCTTCATTCCATTTGTAATTTTTTACAATTTAATTTTCCGAACCTATAAAGTATATATATTCTGGATCCTTATAGCTAGCGGAGTCGACTAAACCATGTCCGTCTGTCTGTTGAAATCAATTTTCTGAAGACCTCAAAATTCTCTGGGATCCAAATCTTTAATAATACTATCAGAAAGCTTTCGAGAAGTTTCCTATTTGAAATCAAAATTTTATAAAATTAATCTTTATTTAAACACACTATGGTGAAGGGTAAATAAGATTCGGCAAAAGTTAATATAGACTTATTACTTGTTTTACTTAAAAAAGTTAGAAATTTAGTTCGTTCTTTATCAGCATATCATAAAAATGTAGTTAGTACGTACTTGTGAAAATGGATAAAATTTGTTTTTAAGCTTCATTAAGCATTGTAAACAAAATTTTCATTTCTCATTTAACTATTGTTGATAATAAACTGTTCACCCTACAAGGCTATTGTTATATATGTACATACATAAGTAAATATGTTTTACAGCTTAAAAATCAAAGTCAACCAAAACTGATATTGCAAGATGAATGATGGCTTTTAAAAATTTGATTCGAGTAACCCAAAGATAACTTAAATCAAGGATGGCAATCGTAATCGCTAAGCTATCGTAACTGCTAAAATACCTTTTCAGCACCACTAATGTTACAGCAAAACTACCAATGCCGAAATAGGTCTGAATACCGTTATCTCTAAAATACTAATACCGAAATAATCCAAAATACCGATAACGCAATTATATCGTTATCGAAATAAGAAAAAATAAAGTCTCCTCCAAAAAAATACATGTATAGCTGTGAAATTCGACATGGACATATTTTATACAGGGGCCGATAATAATATTTATTTTCCTAGTGGACTTGTTTTTAAGAAAATGCGATAAAATTCTTGCCTAAAGAAATAAGAATCAGAAAAGAAGTTTTATTTTTGCTCAAAAAACACTTATTTTGTGATAACAGCTCTGATATTATAGCAATAAAATATCTCTGTATCGGTCTATAATTGACCGCCTATAAAAGGTCCCTTTCCGAAAATGTCTTTAACTCCCATATCTGGCATAAACTTGACATAAACAAATAACATTTTTTGAGTATTGGTCCGCAATTGACTGTATATAGCAATCAAAATCTCTATGTCAAATTTTATGAGGCACGGTCCATAATTAACCCTAGCTTCCATATAAACTCATAAACACTCATAACTTACTTCAAAATTACAGCATAGAAACGATATTCAACATAAATAAGTTTTATATAATCCAAATTTTTTTCGTCAAATTGTGTGATAGTATGTTCATAATTGAGGATTGGGCCATATCGGATCCAAGCCACCACATAAGGTCCCTTTAAGAAAATTAACTGGCTTGTAAAAAACCAAAATGTAAGACTTTAGTCTAATCCAATAGAAGTACTTTTTTTCTTCCTACTTTTCCATTTTTGTCGAATATTGGATCCTAAGTGCCCAAAAAATACTGATAAGGTCCTCATTAGTTTGACATCTGGATAGCCTCTGTCAAACTCATAAAATTCCATAAACGTCCAATTAGTGTTTGCGGACCTATAGGGAATTGTACCGTCGACTATAATTTTTTACATATTTACTTCTATGATGAGGTGCCATACCCTTATGCTAGACCACACCTCTCCTCCTAAATATTCATATGGATATCAAGGTTCATCCCAGTAAAATATTTTAAAATTTTGGTAATGAGTATTGTAGGTAATGTAGCTATTTCACGCATTACTTGGTAATGAGTGATCTTTATTAATAAAATTATTTCATTTTTTTGGATAGGATTTGTAGCCAGATGTTTAGAGCGTATGGAATTAGTTAATGATTTTAAACTAGTCGATATTAGAAGATTTTTTTAGAAATATTGATTTGTACCTTTGTGTAAAAACTATTCCAAATAGCACGATAAAACAACTTGTTAATGGACCATTTGGTAATAGAATAGACTAATAAACACTGAAAATAACTGTAAAGCCGGTTTTAAATCCGGAAAAGTCGGGTAAACACATTTGTAACCAGTTATTTTTTGGTCATCGCCAAACAAAAATAAGTAGTTATTCACCCAAAAAGAAAGTACTTACACTTTGCTCCAATATTACTAGCCTACTTACCGGGTAAGTAAAGACTTTGCTGGGATCATACAAAATTTGAAAATTGTAGTGATTTTAAATTTCCAGATATACGAATTTAAAATGGAAGCTGCCACATCCATTGTACGTCAATGTTTCATATTAAAATTAAAGTTAACGTACAAAATTTAGTGACACTAGCTTTACAGGTTTTAGTATTTAATTCAAATGGAAGGTGCCACGCCCACTATTGCTAAATGCAAATTGGGTATATGGATGTAAAAATTTTCTGTGCAAAATTTTAGTATTCTAGCTATTGAACTTTCTTATATATACGACTGTTAATACTTATTTTTAATGTGAATGTGGCACCTCGCCCATTAAAAATTTCAAAAAATGTGGCGCTTAGTTACGCCTAAACATATAGGAGACACTATAAAATGTGAA